ATAAAATTTTAAAAAATGAGTCATACGTTATAAAAAACTGTAGATCAACAGTAAACGGAGGAAAACAGTTTTAACAATTTAGATCATAAATTAAAAAAATTTTAATTAAAAATTAAAAAATGGAAGAAAAAAAGAAAAAAGAAAAAAAAGAAAGAAAAAGGGAAAAAAGAAAAAAGGAAAAAAAAGAAAAAAAAAGAAAAAAAAGAAGAAGAAAAAAAAAAGGGAAAAGAAAAAAAAGAAAAGAAAAGAAAAAGAAACCGAAAAGAAAAAAAAAGAAAATAAATTTAATGGAGATCAACAGTAAAAAACACCCCTTTGATTCCTAAGGGTAAATAAAATGTAAAAAACAAGTTTTCCTTGTAGTTTTTAGGGGGTTTATAACCTGATATTTTACAAATTTTAAACACTGAAAATTTTTAATACCCGTTTTCCCCCCTGTAAAATTACACGTAGCTACAGTTTAGGACCGGGGAGGGGCAAAACTTTCCAAAAAAATTAGGTAAAAAAAACAGGTTTAAAAAACACTGGGGGAGCAAAATTAAAATTTTTTTTTCCCCAAAAAATAATAATAATAAAAATAAAAATTTAAATTTAAAAAAATAATAATAATGAAGAAGAATAAGAAGAAGAAGAAGAAGAAGAGGAAGAAGAAGAAGAAGAGGAAGAAGAAGAAGAAGAAGAAGAAGAAGAAGAAGAAGAAGAAGAAGAAGAAGAAGAAGAAGAAGAAGAAGAAGAAGAAGAAGAAGAAGAAAAAGAAGAAGAAGAAGAAGACGAAAGAAGAAGAAGAAGAAGAAGAAGAAGAAGAAGAAGAAGAAGAAGAAGAAGAAGAAGAAGAAGAAGAAGAAGAAGAAGAAGAAGAAGAAGACGAAAGAAAAAGAAGAAGAAGAAGAAGAAGAAGAAGAAGAAGAAGAAGAAGAAGAAGAAGAAGAAGAAGAAGAAGAAGAAGAAGAAGAAGAAGAAGAAGAAGACGAAGAAGAAGAAGAAGAAGAAGAAGAAGAAGAAGACGAAGAAGAAGAAGAAGAAGAAGAAGAAGAAGAAGAAGAAGAAGAAGAAGAAGAAGAAGAAGAAGAAGAAGAAGAAGAAGAAGAAGAAGAAGAAGAAGACGAAGAAGAAGAAGAAGAAGAAGAAGAAGAAGAAGAAGAAGAAGAAGAAGATAAATTTAATGAGAGCATCAACAGTAAGTACATCCTCATAGATCTCAATATAAGTAAATAAAAGTGAAATAAATATGGCAGAGTGTGTATGGGCCTGTGTAGTTATATATTGTGTATTATATTGCTCTGACTATTTTGACAAACTTGCTAAACACTGAATTCTTCCAATACGTCAGCTCTCCCTCGACTGTAAAACTATCAGCAACGTCAGCTACAGTGAAGGACTGGTCAGGAGGGAGGTCAGGAACTTTACCTACTAAAGAATTAGTCACGTATAAAGTTACGGCTTTGTCAATAAAGTCACTGGTGGGCGTAAAATCTACAAATCTTGTTATCGGGGAGATATCACTAATGGTACGCAGTGCGGGCCAGTAGATAGATACGATAGTTAGTGATAGTTAACATAAGAAGGAGCACTGCAGAAGCTCTACTGCCTTGCAACATCTTGGGAGCTTGATACAGGGAATTCTTGTACGCTTGACCAGTTGTGGACCTTCATTTAGGAGGTCCTGAAGCTTGAATTCTTATGTGGGCCCCTTAGCAACCCCTTCTTATATAGCAGATCCAAAACTGCTAAGCAAAGTGGACTAAAGTGGCTTCTGGGGCCCCTCTGGGATCATGGGTCCTGAAACTTAAGATTCATTAGTCTCACAGTGGACTCGCTTCTGCTCTTCACCAGCCTACAGGTATGACCTACTTACACTAGGGGATTTGTCCACTGGTGACTCCGCCTCCTGCTACTACTACTCATCTGACTGCAGTACATAAGTCACTTCTGCTGTACTTTCTCAATACTGATGAACTGAACACAATGACTCCAGGCTGAGGGACTGATTACCTCATTCTCCTTCCCATCTTTCACCGTTTTTCTCTGTACTGGACTGATGAAGCCACTGGCTGGCGAAACGTTTCCTCAATAAAGATTTCGAAATGTTCCGCAAGTGTCTAATTCTTCAACATGCTAGGCAGGTCCAAGTCACACCAGCTGAAGAAGGAAGGAGCACTGCAGCAGGCCTACTGGCCAAAGCTGGTCAGTATCTTTATTCCGAAATGTTTGGCTATACACAGTAGGCATCTTCAGTTGAATACAGAATCAGCATTAAGCAGCAGAGAAGTAAACAAATGATGTGATCAGTCCATCAAACTAGAAGAATTGAAGGAGATCAGTCCCTCGAGCTGGAGATTTGTCGAAATTCATTGTCTTGAGCAATGTGAAGCTGGAACGTGAGCACTGGACCTTTTATAGTGTCAGAGGTGAGGCGGTGAGAAGCTAAGTAAGTCTTCTTATCAATGAAGACTTCAGAAATGCCCTAGGTCTACAACCAGGTCACTTGAAGTGTTTTAAATGCCTTAGGTCAACAACCAGGTCACCTGAAGTGTTTTAAATGCCTTAGGTCTACAACCAGGTCACCTGAAGTGTTTTAAATGCCCTAGGTCTACAACCAGGTCACCTGAAGTGTTTTAAATGCCCTAGATCTACAACCAGGTCACCTGAAGTGTTTTAAATGCCCTAGGTCTACAACCAGATCACCTGAAGTGTTTTAAATGCCCTAGGTCTACAACCAGGTCACCTGAAGTGTTTTAAATGCCCTAGATCTACAACCAGGTCACCTGAAGTGTTTTAAATGCAGTAGGTCTACAACCAGGTCACCTGAAGTGTTTTAAATGCCTTAGGTCTACAACCAGGTCACCTGAAGTGTTTTAAATGCCTTGGGTTTAAAAAGGAAAAGGAAATGCCTACCAACCAGGTCACCGAATGTTTTAAATGCCCTAGGTCTACAACCAGGTCAACTGAAAAGTCTTTTAAATGCAGGCTACAACCAGGCAACCTACAAGTGTTTTTAACATCACTAGTAGGTGCTACTGCCCATGCTCACCTAACTGATTAAACTAGCCTTGGTCTACAACCAGAAGATCCCGGGAAGGTTTATTAAAATAGCCTGTGATTCCTAAAACCATCACTTGAAGTGTTTTTCTCCCAGCCAAAACTCCCGGTCACCGTGAAGTACTTCAGAATATCCTATGTGTCCTTACAAACCATCTTTGAGCAGAGTTACAAAGCTTAGTTGTCGCACTGAGTCACCAGAACACAGCACACAACAGTGCAGTAGAAACAACACTACAGGTAAAATCATAGTTAGACTCAACACTCAACATGGGTCACGTTTGACCAGCACTCCCATGTGACATAGCAAAACACTGATAACCTAGTGTGGTGCATGGGTACAGAAATGACTTACCCTAGTGTGGCAGTGTTAATCAAGAGCACAAACTAGTGTGGCGTGTTGCCACCAACTAACCAGTGTGGTCATGTTAGATCCCTACCGTGTTCCTGCCAGTAGTAGAACATCTCTCACAACCAGTGGTGTGCTTTAGAACACTAATTCATGTGTCCCAGTTGTTTAGAACACAGCACTAACCTAGTGTGGTGCAGTAGTTAGAACACAGCACTAACCTAGTGTGGTGCAGTAGTTAGAACACAGCACTAACCTAGTGTGGTGCAGTAGTTAGAACACAGCACTAACCTAGTGTGTGCAGTAGTTAGAACACAGCACTAACCCAGTGTGGTGCAGTAGTTAGAACACAGCACTAACCTAGTGTGGTGCAGTAGTTAGAACACAGCACTAACCTAGTGTGGTGCAGTAGTTAGAAACACAGCACTAACCAATGTGGTGCAGTAGTTAGAACACAGCACTAACCTAGTGTGGTGCAGTAGTTAGAACACAGCACTAACCTAGTGGGGTGCAGTAGTTAGAACAACAGCACTAACCAGTGTGGTGCAGTAGTTAGAACACAGCACTAACCCAGTGTGGTGCAGTAGTTAGAACACAGCACTAACCTAGTGTGGTGCAGTAGTTAGAACACAGCACTAACCCAGTGTGGTGCAGTAGTTAGAATACAGCACTAACCTAGTGTGGTGCAGTAGTTAGAACACAGCACTAACCTAGTGTGGTGCAGTAGTTAGAACACAGCACTAACCCAGTGTGGTGCAGTAGTTAGAACACAGCACTAACCCAAGTGGTGGTGCAGTAGTTAGAATACAGCACTAACCTAGTGTGGTGCAGTAGTTAGAACACAGCACTAACCTAGTGTGGTGGCAGTAGTTAGAAACACAGCACTAACCCCAGTGTGGTGCAGTAGTTAGAACACAGCACTAACCCAGTGTGGTGCAGTAGTTAGAAACAGCACTAACCTAGTGTGGTGCAGTAGTCAGAACACAGCACTAACCTAGTGTGGTGCAGTAGTTAGAATACAGCACTAACCAGTGTGGTGCAGTAGTTAGAACACAGCACTAACCCAGTGTGGTGCAGTATTAGAACACAGCACTAACCCAGTGTGGTGCAGTAGTTAGAACACAGCACTAACCTAGTGTGGTGCAGTAGTTAGAACAAAAGCACTAACCTAGTGTGGTGCAGTAGTTAGAACACAGCACTAACCTAGTGTGGTGCAGTAGTTAGAACACAGCACTAACCCAGTGTGGTGCAGTTAGTTAGAAACAGCATTAACCTAGTGTGGTGCAGTATTTTAGAACACAGCACTAACCCAGTGTGGTGCAGTAGTTAGAATACAGCACTAACCTAGTGTGGTGCAGTAGTTAGAACAAAAGCACTAACCTAGTGTGGTGCAGTAGTTAGAACACAGCACTAACCTAGTGTGGTGCAGTAGTTAGAACACAGCACTAACCTAGTGTGGTGCAGTAGTTAGAACACAGCACTAACCCAGTGTGGTGCAGTAGTTAGAACACAGCACTAACCTAGTGTGGTGCAGTAGTTAGAACACAGCACTAACCTAGTGTGGTGCAGTAGTTAGAACAGCCCTAGTGGTGCAGTAATTAGCACACAACACTGTTCCTTTCCCCATTTCTTCACGTCTCTACCCACCCTCTCCCCAACAGCAACAAGGAACAAGTAGCAGCAGAATGATAGACAGAACGTTGTTACTGTTCCTGGTGTGGGTGGCTTTGGTCTTAGTGCTCCTGAGTCTCTGCTACAGCATCTACTTCATCGTCTCCTACTGCGCCCTCTCCCAAGCTGGAAGCTACCTGGAATGTACTGGAGACTCCTGGCCGTATTTCAGTAGTCTGGCAGTACTCACAGCAACAGGTCAGTTACCCCTCAAGAATAATAATAATAATAATAATAATAATAATAATAATAATAATAATAATAATAATAATAATAACGATAATAATAATCCGTATAGATCCTGTTCTGTGGTTCATTCAGAACTACTCTGTCTATCTTGGAATGGGCTAGACGTGTCCACAAGTATGTTTTGTTATGGGTGAAATGTAGTCCTTTCTCAAGGGGACGGTGCCTGTGAAGGTAGATGGATGGTGTGGATACCTTCGCTAGTTTACAGGATCTGGAAGGGTATCTCTGAGACGTTCCGCCCACACATGAGGCTTTTATCAATAAAGATACCCAGGCGTTGTTTATGTGTCCCCTTTATCGATCTATAATTTAAGGTGTTAGTGTCAACAAGGCTAAACATTGCTATGTTCTACCATGTTAGAACTCACTAGCCATCCTATAAACTAGCACACTGCTAGATCCAGCCTCCTAGCCTTCACAAGTTCCTGGAACTGTGATGTCAACATTGGCTCAGGATTTGTTTATTTAGTGCCTGTCTGCCGTACCCGGCCCACTGACTCAACCCCCAGTGAACTCAAGAGACAAGACAGTCTCTTTGCAATTACCGTATTTTCGGGCATATAAGGCGCAAGGGTGTATCAGACTTACAAGACTATGTTTGCAAGCAGTTAGCAAACAACTGCTAAAATGTAACCCAAAGCTTACCCTTGACTCTGACCTTGAGTATATAAGGCGCAGGATGATTTTTTTCAAGACTCTTTGTAGGGAAAAAGGTGCGTCTTATATGCCGGAAAACAGTATTTGACAATTTTTGACATTTGTCTGCTGTGTAATAAGTAGAAATTGTTATAGTTTATCCTTTCTGTCGCATCAGACACTTGGGCAACATCCGTCAGAATATAGGAACGTGGGTGTCGACACACGTGTCTTGATAATAATCCACATGGAGACAGAAACACAAGAGATTGATTTGATCTGCATATTTCGACCCCCTTCTGGGGTCCTCTTCAGCAGTTCTGCTCAAGGGGACCCCCAGAAGGGGGTCGAAATATAGAGTTCAATCAAACTCCTGTATTTCTGGCTCCATGTGGGTTAATATTGAACACTGACACGTGTTCATTACGCTTTAGTTACCCACATGCGTCTTATTCAAGATTATTATTATAATCAGAACTAAACGTTAAACTTACAAGGGTCAGTGAAGAGGCGGGGCCAGGAGCTGAGTCTCGACCCCTGCAACCACAATTAGATGAGTACAACACTGTTTTTTAATATTTACATATACACATAACAATACAATATCATCTAACGTAAGAATTAAGATAAGATTGTACACAAGTACCCGAGAGTATTGCCGAGTATCTTATCCGAGAGGCTATGGGCATTTCATACCCTTTAACTATAGGTAAACCCTTGTGTTGCAGGGATTGTTGTGTTGATCCTGGCTGTTGCTGTTAGCTACAACAGCCGAGCAGGCAACAGCGGCATGTTACACACAAACCATTACGCTAACTCGTACGTGGGACAACCAGGGGTCGAATACCCTCTTCCTCCACCACCTCCTCCTGCTTATATGGAACATCCTCCTCTCCCTCCTGGTTTCGTCGAGTATCGACCACCTCCTGCTGATGTCCTGGAGGTCGATAGGGTCGACGCCGAGCGCAGGATGTCAAAGATTATCATTCCCAGAGCACACGTCAACCCTCCTGCGTCTTCCGCCCATCCTACTGTGCCTCCTATCAATCCTACTGTGCCTCCTATCAATCCTACTGTGCCTCTCATCAATCCTGCTGCGTCTCCCGACAACCAGCGGAAGTACTAACTGAAAGAACAGGATATCATACGTAGGACAGGCCATCTTAATGCTAGGAAAGCTGAAGGATAGGCTATTCAGGATAATCACAGCCGAGGATATGGATATATGGCATACCAGAGACATGTCCCATATCTTCCAGTGGAGGGAGAGGAAGGTGAGGATATATACGATAGGCCTATCCCAGTACTATAACAAGTGCGCTGGATAGGAGAAGATAGGACAGGAAAACATCCCTTCTAAATGCTATGCATTTACATGTTTCAATGGAGAGTGCTGAAACTGCTCATACCTGATCCCCACACCATGGTAAAGATGACGTTTCGCCCACACAGTGAGCTTTGTTAGGTAAGACACATATGCAATAGTTAGGTATCTTTATTATGAAACGTTTCGCCTACACAGTAGGCTTCTTCAGTCAAGTACAGAAAAGTTGATAGAAGCAGAAGATACTTGAAGACGTTGTAATCAGTCCATCACCCTTAAAGTTTTGAGGTGGTCAGTCCCTCAGTCTGGAGAAGAGCATTGTTCCATAGTATGAAACAATATGGAGAAGAAGTGACAGGATGGAGCTTTTTATAGCGCCAAGAGGTGAGACGTAGGCCACTAGGAGAGGTAAGAACTCAGACTGATTACATCGTCTTCAAGTATCTTCTGCTTCTATCAACTTTTCTGTACTTGACTGAAGAAGCCTACTGTGTAGGCGAAACGTTTCATAATAAAGATACCTAACTATTGCATATGTGTCTTACCTAACAACCTGTCGGTATTTTATACCATTTTAATGTTCACAGTGAGCTTTATTGATGAATAAGACACAAATGAAATACCTGGGGATCTTTATTAATGCAGTGTTCTTTTCAGTTCAGCATTGATGTTATTACTGGAGACAATGGAAGTAGGCAGATAATTATGAGGTGGTTAGTCCCTCAGTCTTGATAGGTGGTTAGTCCTTCAGTCTTGATAGGTGGTTAGTCCCTCAGTCTTGATAGGTGGTTAGTCCTTCAGTCTTGATAGGTGGTCAGCCCCTCAGTCTTGATAGGTGGTCAGCCCCTCAGTCTTGATAGGTGGTTAGTCCTTCAGTCTTGATAGGTGGTCCGCCCCTCAGTCTCAATTGATAGGTGGTTAGTCCTTCAATCTTGATAGGTGGTCAGCCCCTCAGTCTTGATAGGTGGTCAGCCCCTCAGTCTTGATAGGTGGTTAGTCCTTCAATCTTGATAGGTGGTCAACTCCTCAGTCTTGAAAGGTGGTCAGTCCCTCAGTCTTGACAGAAGTTGGTCAGTCCCTCAGTCTAGACAGAAGGTGGTCAATCCCTCAGTCTAGACAGAAGGTGGTCAGTCCCTCAGTCTTCACAGAAGGTTGTCAATCCCTCAGTCTAGACAGAAGGTGGTCAGTCCCTCAGTCTTGACAGAAGGTTGTCAATCCCTCAGTCTAGACAGAAGGTGGTCAGTCCCTCAGTCTTCACAGAAGGTTGTCAATCCCTCAGTCAAGACAGAAGGTGGTCAGTCCCTCAGTCTTCACAGAAGGTTATCAATCCCTCAGTCTAGACAGAAGGTGGTCAGTCCCTCAGTCTTGACAGAAGGTTGTCAATCCCTCAGTCTAGACAGAAGGTGGTCAGTCCCTCAGTCTTGACAGAAGGTTGTCAATCCCTCAGTCTAGACAGAAGGTGGTCAGTCCCTCAGTCTTCACAGAAGGTTGTCAATCCCTCAGTCAAGACAGAAGGTGGTCAGTCCTCAGTCTTCACAGAAGGTTATCAATCCCTCAGTCTAGACAGAAGGTGGTCAGTCCCTCAGTCTTCACAGAAAGTTGTCAATCCCTCAGTCAAGACAGAAGGTGGTCAGTCCCTCAGTCTTCACAGAAGGTTGTCAATCCCTCAGTCAAGACAGAAGGTGGTCAGTCCTCAGTCTTCACAGAAGGTTGTCAATCCCTCAGTCAAGACAGAAGGTGGTCAGTCCCTCAGTCTTCACAGAAGGTTGTCAATCCCTCAGTCTAGACAGAAGGTGGTCAGTCCCTCAGTCTTCACAAAAAGTTGTCAATCCCTCAGTCAAGACAGAAGGTGGTCAGTCCCTCAGTCTTCACAGAAGGTTATCAATCCCTCAGTCTAGACAGAAGGTGGTCAGTCCCTCAGTCTTCACAGAAGGTTGTCAATCCCTCAGTCTAGACAGAAGGTGGTCAGTCCCTCAGTCTTCACAGAAAGTTGTCAATCCCTCAGTCTAGACAGAAGGTGGTCAGTCCCTCAGTCTTCACAGAAGGTTGTCAATCCCTCAGTCTAGACAGAAGGTGGTCAGTCCCTCAGTCTTCACAGAAAGTTGTCAATCCCTCAGTCTAGACAGAAGGTGGTCAGTCCCTCAGTCTTCACAGAAGGTTGTCAATCCCTCAGTCTAGACAGAAGGTGGTCAGTCCCTCAGTCTTCACAGAAGGTTGTCAATCCCTCAGTCTAGACAGAAGGTGGTCAGTCCCTCAGTCTTCACAGAAGGTTGTCAATCCCTCAGTCTTGACAAAAGGTGGCCAGTCCCTTAATCTAGACAGAAGGTGGTCACTCCCTCAGTCTCATCAATACAATTCACTGTACGGGCGAAACGTCTGCCTCATCAACTTGTAAATATAAGACTATAACACCCATGTTTAGCCCAGACAGTAAACAAATATAAATATTTTACACTTACAATATCCCCAGGAACAATAGATCAAAGATAACTAAGTCTAACATTAATCTGTCTATTGTTTCTGAAATAAAAGTTAAAGAACGATTACTTTTATTTACTGACCCTTGTATATGTATAAAGGGAGTTGAATGAAAACTTAGGCCTCTCGTGATGCAATCAATACATCATCAGTAGCTTGCAGTGTTGCAGAAATGAGTAGGAAGTTCAAGTAGGAGTGAACAGGGACTCGAACCGAGGTACTGGCAGGCCCAATGACACTCAGCTTGTCGTGTGGCACACAGCCTGCTGGAACAATGGAACAGTTCAACAAGCCAGTGTGGGTGTCAACAATGGAACACTCCCACGGGATGATTGTCTCTGATGGAGTACTTCCTCCTTGCAATGGTAAGACTGCAAGTGTGAGAAGTGGTGGAGGTGGAGGAGCACTAGAAGGTAAGTCAAGACTGCAAGTGTGAGAAGTGGTGGAGGTGGAGGAGCACTAGAAGGTAAGTCAAGACTGCAAGTGTGAGAAGTGGTGGAGGTGGAGGAGCACTAGAAGGTAAGTCAAGACTGCAAGTGTGAGAAGTGGTGGAGGTGGAGGAGCACTAGAAGGTAAGTCAAGATTGCAAGTGTGAGAAGTGGTGGAGGTGGAGGAGCACTAGAAGGTAAGTCAAGACTGCAAGTGTGAGAAGTGGTGGAGGTGGAGGAGCACTAGAAGGAAAGTCAAGACTGCAAGTGTGAGAAGTGGTGGAGGTGGAGGAGCACTAGAAGGTAAGTCAAGACTGCAAGTGTGAGAAGTGGTGGAGGTGGAGGAGCACTAGAAGGAAAGTCAAGACTGCAAGTGTGAGAAGTGGTGGAGGTGGAGGAGCACTAGAAGGTAAGTCAAGACTGCAAGTGTGAGAAGTGGTGGAGGTGGAGGAGCACTAGAAGGTAAGTCAAGACTGCAAGTGTGAGAAGTGGTGGAGGTGGAGGAGCACTAGAAGGTAAGTCAAGACTGCAAGTGTGAGAAGTGGTGGAGGTGGAGGAGCACTAGAAGGTAAGTCAAGACTGCAAGTGTGAGAAGTGGTGGAGGTGGAGGAGCACTAGAAGGTAAGTCAAGACTGCAAGTGTGAGAAGTGGTGGAGGTGGAGGAGCACTAGAAGGTAAGTCAAGACTGCAAGTGTGAGAAGTGGTGGAGGTGGAGGAGCACTAGAAGGTAAGTCAAGACTGCAAGTGTGAGAAGTGGTGGAGGTGGAGGAGCACTAGAAGGTAAGTCAAGACTGCAAGTGCGAGAAGTGGTGGAGGTGGAGGAGCACTAGAAGGTAAGTCAAGACTGCAAGTGTGAGAAGTGGTGGAGGTGAGGAGCACTAGAAGGTAAGTCAAGACTGCAAGTGTGAGAAGTGGTGGAGGTGGAGGAGCACTAGAAGGTAAGTCAAGACTGCAAGTGTGAGAAGTGGTGGAGGTGGAGGAGCACTAGAAGGTAAGTCAAGACTGCAAGTGTGAGAAGTGGTGGAGGTGGAGGAGCACTAGAAGGTAAGTCAAGACTGCAAGTGTGAGAAGGGGTGGAGGTGGAGGAGCACTAGAAGGTAAGTCAAGACTGCAAGTGTGAGAAGTGGTGGAGGTGGAGGAGCACTAGAAGGTAAGTCAAGACTGCAAGTGTGAGAAGTGGTGGAGGTGGAGGAGCACTAGAAGGTAAGTCAAGACTGCAAGTGCGAGAAGTGGTGGAGGTGGAGGAGCACTAGAAGGTAAGTCAAGACTGCAAGTGTGAGAAGTGGTGGAGGTGGAGGAGCACTAGAAGGTAAGTCAAGACTGCAAGTGTGAGAAGTGGTGGAGGTGGAGGAGCACTAGAAGGTAAGTCAAGACTGCAAGTGTGAGAAGTGGTGGAGGTGGAGGTGGAGGAGCACTAGAAGGTAAGTCAAGACTGCAAGTGTGAGAAGTGGTGGAGGTGGAGGAGCACTAGAAGGTAAGTCAAGACTGCAAGTGCGAGAAGTGGTGGAGGTGGAGGAGCACTAGAAGGTAAGTCAAGACTGCAAGTGCGAGAAGTGGTGGAGGTGGAGGAGCACTAGAAGGTAAGTCAAGACTGCAAGTGTGAGAATGGTGGAGGTGGAGGAGCACTAGAAGGTAAGTCAAGACTGCAAGTGTGAGAAGTGGTGGAGGTGGAGGAGCACTAGAAGGTAAGTCAAGACTGCAAGTGTGAGAAGTGGTGGAGGTGGAGGAGCACTAGAAGGTAAGTCAAGACTGCAAGTGTGAGAAGTGGTGGAGGTGGAGGAGCACTAGAAGGTAAGTCAAGACTGCAAGTGTGAGAAGTGGTGGAGGTGGAGGAGCACTAGAAGGTAAGTCAAGACTGCAAGTGTGAGAAGTGGTGGAGGTGGAGGAGCACTAGAAGGTAAGTCAAGACTGCAAGTGTGAGAAGTGGTGGAGGTGGAGGAGCACTAGAAGGTAAGTCAAGACTGCAAGTGTGAGAAGTGGTGGAGGTGGAGGAGCACTAGAAGGTAAGTCAAGACTGCAAGTGTGAGAAGTGGTGGAGGTGGAGGAGCACTAGAAGGTAAGTCAAGACTGCAAGTGTGAGAAGTGGTGGAGGTGGAGGAGCACTAGAAGGTAAGTCAAGACTGCAAGTGCGAGAAGTGGTGGAGGTGGAGGTGGAGGAGCACTAGAAGGTAAGTCAAGACTGCAAGTGTGAGAAGTGGTGGAGGTGGAGGAGCACTAGAAGGTAAGTCAAGACTGCAAGTGCGAGAAGTGGTGGAGGTGGAGGAGCACTAGAAGGTAAGTCAAGACTGCAAGTGTGAGAAGTGGTGGAGGTGGAGGAGCACTAGAAGGTAAGTCAAGACTGCAAGTGCGAGAAGTGGTGGAGGTGGAGGTGGAGGAGCACTAGAAGGTAAGTCAAGACTGCAAGTGTGAGAAGTGGTGGAGGTGGAGGAGCACTAGAAGGTAAGTCAAGACTGCAAGTGCGAGAAGTGGTGGAGGTGGAGGAGCACTAGAAGGTAAGTCAAGACTGCAAGTGTGAGAAGTGGTGGAGGTGGAGGAGCACTAGAAGGTAAGTCAAGACTGCAAGTGTGAGAAGTGGTGGAGGTGGAGGAGCACTAGAAGGTAAGTCAAGACTGCAAGTGCGAGAAGTGGTGGAGGTGGAGGAGCACTAGAAGGTAAGTCAAGACTGCAAGTGTGAGAAGTGGTGGAGGTGGAGGAGCACTAGAAGGTAAGTCAAGACTGCAAGTGTGAGAAGTGGTGGAGGTGGAGGTGGAGGAGCACTAGAAGGTAAGTCAAGACTGCAAGTGTGAGAAGTGGTGGAGGTGGAGGAGCACTAGAAGGTAAGTCAAGACTGCAAGTGTGAGAAGTGGTGGAGGTGGAGGAGCACTAGAAGGTAAGTCAAGACTGCAAGTGTGAGAAGTGGTGGAGGTGGAGGAGCACTAGAAGGAAAGTCAAGACTGCAAGTGTGAGAAGTGGTGGAGGTGGAGGAGCACTAGAAGGTAAGTCAAGACTGCAAGTGTGAGAAGTGGTGGAGGTGGAGGAGCACTAGAAGGTAAGTCAAGACTGCAAGTGCGAGAAGTGGTGGAGGTGGAGGAGCACTAGAAGGTAAGTCAAGACTGCAAGTGTGAGAAGTGGTGGAGGTGGAGGAGCACTAGAAGGTAAGTCATCTTGCAGCAGCCACAGACTTAACGTAATCAAGGTGAGACTGTCAAGATGCAACTCAACCCGGCACTTGTCACCATCAAGGTACTTGTATATAACAACATCAAGGTACTTAGAAGATATCAAGGTACTTATATATAAAATATCAAGGTACTTATATATAACAACATCAAGGTATTTAGAAGATATCAAGGTACTTATATAATATCAAGGTACTTATATAATATCAAGGTACTTATAAAATATCAAGGTACTTGTATATAAAACATCAAGCATCTGTGGCACCATCATGTGCATCTGTGGCACCATCCTGTGCATCTGCGGCACCATCATGTGCACCTGCGGCACCATCCTGTGCACCTGCGGCACCATCCTGTGCATCTGTGGCACCATCCTGTGCATCTGTGGCACCATCCTGTGCATCTGTGGCACCATCTTGTGCATCTGTGGCACCATCCTGTGCATCTGTGGCACCATCTTGTGCATCTGTGGCACCATCCTGTGCATCTGTGGCACCATCCTGTGCACCTGCGGCACCATCCTGTGCATCTGTGGCACCATCCTGTGCACCTGCGGCACCATCCTGTGCATCTGTGGCACCATCCTGTGCATCTGCGGCACCATCCTGTGCATGTGGCACCATCCTGTGCACCTGCGGAACCATCCTGTGCACCTGCGGCACCATCCTGTGCATCTGTGGCACCATCCTGTGCATCTGTGGCAGCATCCTGTGCATCTGCGGCACCATCCTGTGCACCTGCGGCACCATCCTGTGCATCTGTGGCGCCATCCCGTGCATCTGTGGCACCATCCTGTGCACCTGCGGCACCATCCTGCGCATCTGTGGCACCATCCTGTGCACCTGCGGCACCATCCTGCGCATGTGGCACCATCCTGTGCACCTGCGGCACCATCCTGTGCATCTGCGGCACCATCCTGTGCACCTGCGGCACCATCCTGCGCATCTGCGGCACCATCCTGTGCATCTGTGGCACCATCCTGTGCACCTGCGGCACCATCCTGCGCATCTGCGGCACCATCCTGTGCATCTGTGGCACCATCCTGTGCACCTGCGGCACCATCCTGTGCATCTGTGGCACCATCCTGTGCATCTGTGGCACCATCCTTTGCACCTGCGGCACCATCCTGCGCATCTGCGGCACCATCCTGCGCATCTGCGGCACCATCCTGTGCACCTGCGGCACCATCCTGCGCATCTGCGGCACCATCCTGTGCACCTGCGGCACCATCCTGCGCATCTGCGGCACCATCCTGCGCATCTGTGGCACCATCCTGTGCACCTGCGGCACCATCCTGCGCATCTGCGGCACCATCCTGTGCACCTGCGGCACCATCCTGCGCATCTGCGGCACCATCCTGTGCACCTGCGGCACCATCTTGCGCATCTGCGGCACCATCCTGGGCATCTGCGGCACCATCCTGTGCACCTGCGGCACCATCTTGCGCTCTCAAGAAAAAGTTGAAATTCACGGCTCGAATCCCAGTGTCTCTCAAAGTGCCGTTATGGGCGTGTAAGGCCTTGTGGGCGTGGGAGTGGGCGTGGGCGACGTGGGAGAGTGGGCGTGGGCGACGTGGGAGAGTGGGCGTGGGTGAATGGGCCATTCAGGCGCGAAAGTTCATTACGTTCGTCTTACGTAACTCGGAAGAGAGGAAGAAGCCTTCTTGAAGCTTCGAGATGCTTCCTGAAGCATCTTGAAGCCTTCTTGGACCATCTTAAATCATCTTTAGCCTTCTAAATTACAAATACGTGGAGCGAGCCTCCACCACTCCAAGTGTTGAATGACACACACATCTTTAACGAAGACGTTTCGCTCTCTTAACCTTGATGTTTCGCTATTTCTACCTTGATTACACCTTGAAGTGATTAAGGTCCAGGAAACAAGAATGTCTTCATAAATTCTGGCCATTTCCTATCAATGTTTTTGTTTTCAACTCGATAAACAAAAAAAAATGCAAAAAATAAAAAACGTGATGTGTCTTGTTTGCTTTCTATTGAGAAATCCAGCTTGGGATGTGTGCCGAAGCTTTGTAATGGACTTTAAGCTTATCAGAAAGCTGCAAGCTGAGCTTGGACGACAGTATATGGATGCAAGCCGAGTGGAAAGCTTCCGCTGGCCACTAGACCGGTGGTCGCTTAGCTGTGAAGCTTAGGGATTGAGCTTTATTACCGAACAGTGAGCTGTGTGTGAGGAGACATGTACTCGTGCATGGTGACACCATCACACTGAACAACAAAAGTTGCGTTGATGACACAAAAGTAAAAGTGTTTTCCCTTACGCGGTCCTCAGGAGCGCTGATGTACGATAATTCCAATTCTACCTTTCACCCAAAAACACTAAATTTGGGCATTAATATTCCCCCATAGTTCACCCACACCTCTATTCCCAACTTATTTTTTCTTAAAAGTGCAAAACTGGTCAAAATTACGAATGGTTTGTGGCGAAATAACGCGTGTTTATACGCGGTATTTGGCACTGCAAGGAGAAGATGATCTTGACTTGGCGGGAGAAAGTGACCAATCAGCGGCGATGCTCTTCGTCACGTGACCTCCCCTGCAACAATGGCGGGATTCTTCAGGACGAGTATAAAGGTTTAAGAATGGCTGTGTCTTTTCCAAGTCGCGTTGTCGATTGTGAGCCTTTGTAGCGAGAGCAGGGGAGATGCATCTGCCGTTAGCCAAGCTGGTGTTGGTGATCGGTAAGTGATGGGGTGCGGTAACTTGATGTTTGTTGATGTGTCTGTGAAGAATACTGGCGGCGGGGAGGAAATCTAGTGAGTTCGAGGGAGGGAAGAAGATTCAATTCTTCCCCTGAAAGGAAATTTAACAAGCATAAGGGAAGAAGAAGATTCACTTCTCCCTCGAGAGAAAACTTAGAGATAACGCTGGAAGATCCCTCACTTCTTCCCCTGGGACGAAACTTAGAAAGAACGCTGGAAGATCACTCACTTCTCCTGAGAGAAAACTTAGAACGCTGGAAGATCACTCACTTCTCCTGAGAGAAAACTTAGAACGCTGGAAGATCACTCACTTCTTCCCCTGAGAGAAAACTTAGAGAGAACGCTGGAAGATCACTCCCTTCTTCCCCTGAGAGAAAACTTAGAGAGAACGCTGGAAGATCACTCCCTTCTTCCCCCGAGAGGAAAGTCGAGGGATGACAGAGATACTTCAGAACGGTTCTTCAAGGGCGGAGAGCCACTGAAAGCGAGAGTGGTGGATCTTGGCCAGTGGATCACCTTCACCACCCACACAAACATTGATGACACCCTCCCTGCATCAACCCTCTTCATCAACAATGCCATTAATAAGCATCGATGCAAATACGTCAATGTGGGTTTTTAAAAAGTAACATTGATGGTATACAATACTGACAAAATGAAGTATTAGACACATATACATCTGTTGCAAATGTTTCTGCTTCTTTATCTTGATAAGACACGTGTGCAGCAACACCTGAATCTCTGGAGAACACTCAGGTGTTTTACCAGCCCACTGGGTGTGGGCGAAACGTAGACGATAAAGGACCGTATTATAACTGCATATGTGCCTTTATATTACCAACAAAATGTTAGGTAAATGGACACATGCAACACTTTACTGCTACAGTAGTTGCATCTGTGGCCATTTACCAGACATTTCATCCATCTTCTTATTATTTTATACCATTTATCTCCACTCCAGATATGGGAGACAGTGGAAGAAGGGGACCGGTGTCTTTAAGATGTTCAGTTCCTTAACCTAAATTGGTGTTCAGTCCTTCAATCTTACTAAGAGAGTCTCTCTAAAAAGGTGTACTTGACGCTGGTGGAGGGATCTTGATCTTATCTTCCCATTCTCAGAGCTGGATTAACGATGGGAATCTTTTGCGTGCAACCTAAGAACTGCTGTCCTGCCTCGCTTCGGTTGAACGCCCCATGCTTAGAAATACTTTGTTTCTATAGAATAAATCTTTGCAAAGTTTAGTGACAGAGTTACTGAGTTTAATATCTTTATAATGCACGCCATACCCATGCTGTAGGCGGTAGTCAAAATATTACAGAAGTACATAATGGGTCCAGGGACTGGGCCCCAAAGTTTTGATAGCTAAACAAGTTACATTGGTAATGAACTTTTTACATGTTTATATCTAGTCACAATAGTAATGAGCTATTTATACAAACAATAATTCGGTTCCATACCAGTGACAAAGGCAGACAAACAGACAGGCAGGCAGGCAGAATGATGAAGCATTAGGTATTATTGAGATGGGACAGAACGAGATACGAATGAAAATTTGACACGTGTGCAACATCTGGGTATCTTTAATGTAGAAGTATCGCCATCCAGCAGAACTATATACAAAAGATGAGGTAATCAGTCCCTCAGCCTTGAAGTTGGTGTGAAAAGCACCGTAGTCGTGAAGAATCTGGAGCACAGACAAGAAGGCTTATATACTGGCGTCAGGTGAAAAGGGGAAGGGTAGCAGACGAAGGCATTGTCACTGGTAGGGGGGATTCCCCAGTGGAAGTAGGTCATACCCAAGGGACGGGTTAGTAGAAGTGAAGTAGGTTGTAGAGATGTCCTCTGAACCAAGATTCCATGATGGTGCAGTGTTTGACAAACTATACGAGCTGACGAATGGTATTTGATTGGCACGAGTGGCAAACATTCTGATTGGCCATATTATTCTGTGATAGATAGTGTGGGAACACCCGAAGTGTGCTGCTACACTATTTTATATAACTATACTGTGGCAGAAGCTAGCTATGTTTCCCTGTCACATTCCATCACACAGGATGGTGTCTCCCTGTCACAATCCATCACACAGGATGGTGTCTCCCTGTCACATTCCATCACACAGGATGGTGTCTCCCTGTCACAATCCATCACACAGGATGGTGTCACCCTGTCACATTCCATCACACAGGATAGTGTCCCCCTGTCACATTCCATCACACAGGATGGTGTCTCCCTGTCACATTCCATCACACAGGATGGTGTCTCCCTGTCACATTCCATCACACAGGATGGTGTTTCAAACAAGAAATAATGGAATATGTCAGCCTGAACTGGGGGACCAGTATACCATTGAAGATATCGTCCAGTATTCCATTAAGGTTCACCAGCTACGATAGCTTCAGAGGTTACCTTCCAGCAGAGCTGGAGTTACTATCAGTTGGGAATTACCGACACATACAACATTTTTCCACATAATCCCAA